CCTTTTTTCCTATTTCAGTTCTCTGGATTAATTAATTTATTTTTATTTATTTTGGACTGTACTGAGTCTTCATGGTGTGTGGACACTTTCTCTAGTTGCGGCAAGTAGGGGCTACTCTACTCTTGCAGTGTGTGTGCTTCTTATTGCGGTGGCTTCTCTTGTTTTGGGGCACAGGCTCAGTAGTTGCGGCACACAGGCTTAGTTGCTCTGTGGCATGTGGAATCTTCCCAGATCAGGAATCAAAAGTCCTCTGCATTGGCATGTAGATTCTTAACCACTAGACCTCAGGAAAGTCCCCTCTGGATTAATTTAATGGTGCCACACCAGTGCTATGAACCAAATAGCCATGTAAAATATTGATTGGATGCCAGAAAAGGTTATATATTAGTTCCCTGTCATACAGAGTGAAGTAAGTCAGAAAGAGAAAACAAATATGTATTAACACATATATGTGAAATCTAGAAAATGGTACAGATGAACCTATTTGCAAAGCAGAAATAGAGACACAGATGTAGAGAACAAATGTATGGACACCAGGTAGAAAGGGGAATGAATTGGAAGATTGGAATTGACATATATACACTACTATGTATAAAATAGATAACTAATGAGAACCTAAAGTATACCACAGTCAATGCTCTGTGGTGACCTAAATGGAAAGGAAATCCAAGAATATATTCTTAAGGCATAAAGAACACTTAAAAATTATTTAAAGATGAATACCATTAAAGAAAAATGGTCACAAGAGAAGACACTCCTATCAACCAGCAAACTTAAGGAACAACTCATCACCACAAATCAGAGAAATGTAAATAAAACCAGAAGATTGAAAACACTTACTCAAAGGCTTAATCAAGAATTTGGGACTGTTGTAAGACGATCACAGTGACAGTGTAATTAATGTTCCATAAATTCTAAAATATTGTAAATGAAATGCCATCCCATAAATACATGGAAACTAGAATGATTTCTTTGGGCTATTAGATTTTGATGCAAAGGTAAAAATGATTCACTTGTGTTAATACTTAGTTATATAGAGCAGCTTCAGCTGCATGCAGCAAATTCTGATAAATTCTCATTTTATTTTTATTCTGTTACAAATATTCTCTAATTTTCCTTGTTATGGCTTCTTAGGTATACCCATCATTTAAAAGTGGACATTTTGTTTCCAAATACATGAAGTTTTTAAACTATCTTTGATATTAATTTCTCAGTTTGATAGTTATCATTTAATGATTCCTTCTCTGTAATCACCCTGTGTGTTTTCAGTGTTTGAACTTTATTGAGGCTTTCAATGGCTAAATCAAAGATCTCTCTTGGTAAATGACACATTGCATTTGAAAATATCTGGGCTATTTTCAAATATCTTTTGATACTGATTTCTAACTTAATTCCACAGTGATAAGAGAACAGATTGTATGATTCCAATACCTTTAGGCCATGAAATTTTTGCATCTTGTTTTATGCAACTGGATATGTTCCAGTGTCTCCTGCTTTATAGTCTATGGGAACTTGAATTTGTATCCTGCTGTTGTGTGAAAATTGTATAAATCTTAATTATGTTGAATTGGTTCATAGCAGTTTTCAGGTCTACTATTTCATTCTATTAAGCTTTGAGAGTTTTATACTGAAGCTTCAACTAAATCTTAATTTATCTACTTAAAAAATAATTGTAATATGTAATTCTAATAGGTATGAAAATGCAGAACAATATAACTTTGTTCTGTATTTTCCATATCTCCTGTAAATGTGTTGTCATACTTTCATAATTAAAAAAAAACAAAACAAAAAATGATTCGTAACTAGCACTTTCATCCTGATAAACATCTCTTCAGTGCTTATTGGTTCTCAAACTTAAACACCTTGGGATCAAGTCAACTTATCACATCATCTTCTTAGAAGTAGTAGTTTTTAAAAGAATAACACATACACACCAAGTCCAAAGCAAATGGATGGCTTACAGACAGTTGAAAATGTCCATTGGTTCTGCCCCATAGGCTGGGGGAGGCTGGGAGTGGCAGGAGGGTGTTCATGTGAGCATAAGGGGACATCGCTCCAGAACAGACTCTCGTATTGCAGGTTTGTCACTGCATTTACGTAAACAGTTGTGTGTGTTGACTGTGCACACACGTGTCTTAGGAAGAAGAAAATGATTGGAGAGCAAAGACAGCAACACATGATTTGAATTTCACCATTCAAGAGAAAAGGATGTCAAATGCTGGCTGGACACTCAGCAATTCATCTGCAAAGCCTTCAGATGAAATAATGAGAGGGACAAGTGAACATCTCTTGTTAAAGATCAACTTTCCCAGGGAGCAAAAAGAATGCCAGGGCAGTGAGACAAAAGACATGCCTCTTCATCATGAGTGTCATTCATAAAATGCCCTTTTGTCTATTCAGAGCGATTTTAGTCCTTGGCTCTGTGGGCCAAGGGTAGAAAAGAACAAGAAGGAATTTTTATCATTAGGCTTACAATGAACTGAACTTTCTACGAAAGAATTCAACTTACTTATTTTTTTTAAAGCAAGGATGGTTTTGTTTTGCTTTTTAAAGCTAGAGGATACCATATGGTAAGTGATTTTGCTGAACACACCAGAAAATGTTTTTAAATGGATAGTTTGTTAAGTGTATTTGAACCTGGAGTGGAAGAAAAGAAAATAGGATGCTAAGTTTTTTAATAAAGACTGCTTGCCTGGCAAAAGGATAGTTCCCCTTGAAGTTGATAAATACATTCAACATTTGCTGAGATCATAATCTTAAATCCTTAATGAGAGCTGATCAAAACCCCTACTCCCACCCCAGCAACCAGCCAGAAAGGGAGCAATCTGTTTGCTGGCAGTGAGGTATCCGTTAGTTGCTAACTGATGAAAGCCTTTCCCCACCCCAGATGAGAAAATAATGCATATGCTTGGGAAGCGCTGATTGGCAGCACCAGCTCAGTAGTACTCAGTGCAAAGAGGAGGCTCATGGAACAAGAGAATTTACTCTAGAGGCTTCCTTCCTCTGTGCATCAGCAAACCAGCTGTGATCAAATATTTATTAGCTGTGCCTTTGGCTGAGCTATCTAAGCATAAGAGAAAGAAGGAATTTTAAGGCAAGGGCCGGATATCTCACGTATGTGCTGCCTAGATACGAACATCTGCTCTTTAATTAAGCACATAAGTCTCCAACCACCCCCTCCCTCTTGCTCCTGAGCTGTGTGTGCTTGCTTATTTTGCAACTGTATTTAGTCACGAAATTTCTTCCAGAGCCACTCTGAGTCTGGCGAGGGAACCCATGACCAGTGAGTCAGATTTGTTTTAACTTGTGAAAAGGGTTATTGATGAATTGAGACGGCATTCCTACTCGGTCAGGATAAACTCCAATCATTGCAGTAGAGGGTGAAGAAAAGGCCACTTGTCCTCCCTGCGTCCTTGTCCTCCCTGCGTCCTAGAATTCAACTTGCGGTCCCACCCCACCTATTCCCTGCTCCTCTGGAAACCTTTCTCATTGGCACAAAAGGGTCATTTGTCCAGTGGTAATGCAGAAAAGCCAGGGCCAGGGGCTGTGAGGTCTCTCTTTAGTTTAGCTCTGGGTACACTAAAAGGTCTGTTAGTTATCTCAGCACCCTTGTAAGTATATTACTGATTCTCCCTTGTAGATGATGATCCCAACTGTCAAAGAAGAGGTTGAACTCTATGTCAACCTCTATGTCTATGTGTATGAGGTGTCTGTAGTTAGAGCCAGTGGGTCTAATCATTCAAGGAGACAGCAGTCTCAAAATTAAATGGAGCACAAGCTCGATTTTAACAAGAAGGAACCCCCCTGCCTTTGGATATTCTGATTTAGTAGGTTTGGGATAGAGCCTGCTAATCTTTTTTTAAGTTTACTATCTAGCTTTATTTTACTTCATTTAAGTTTTTTTTAATGTATTTATTTTTAATTGGAGGATAATTGCTTTACAATCTTGTGTTGGTTTCTGCCATACGTCAAAATCAGTCAGCCATAGGTATACATATGTCCCATTGCTCTTGAAACTTCCTTTCAACTCCCACCCCATTCTACCCCTCTGGGTTGTCACAGAGTACTGGTTGAGCTCCCTGAGGCATACAACAAATTTCCACTGGCTATCTATTTTATTAATACATATGGTAATAGGGCTTCCTGGGTGATTCAGACGGTAAAGAATATGCCTGCAATGCAGGAGACCTGGGTTTGATCCCTGGGTCAGGAAGATCCCCTGGAGAAGGGAATGGCAACCCACTCCAATATTGCTTGGAGAATTCCATGGACAGAGGAGCCTGACAGTCTAGTCGATGGAGTGTCAGAGAGTTAGATACTGAGCGACTAACACTTTGACACATTCATGGTAATGTATATGTGTTAATGCTACTCTCTCAATTCACCGCATCCTCTCCTTCCCTCACCACATCCACAAGTTTGTTCTCTATGTCTGTGTCTTCTAGTGTTGCCCTACAGATAGGTTCCTTAGTACCGTTTTTCTGGATTCCATATATATGCGTTAATATATGATATTTGTTTTCCTCTTTCCAACTTAACTTCACTCTTTATAACAGAAAGCCTGCTAATCAACATGTTCAGAAATCTTTCCAGACTCTAATTGAGAATTTTTCTGGGTCTATATGAAATTCTATTAACCTAAATGCATTAATTCTTTATATGAAATGGCACCAGAAAGAATCAGGTTCATTATTGAAAGAAAAGTCAAGGTGTAAACACATACACACACATACCCATCCCACTGTCCAGCATGCCTCAGTGGGAACCAGGGAGGGTCTGGCTGCTTCACCTTTTTGGAGTCCCATCTTCCTTTCTTTTACAATGGAGATGACCAGGCTGTTCTGTATATGTAGAATGGTTTGTGTTAAGCCAGAATGAAAACTCCCTAAAAAGGAAAAAATACCCAAAAGAAATGAAAAAAAAAAAAATCTGATTGTAGCTGACCAGTCAGGTCTGCCCATGATTTCACTTTGAGGTCTGACTCGATCTCCCCTTTTCAGCCAGCACGGTCCGGCCAGAAGATGATGTGACTACAGGTGTGAAAGATGAGAAGACGACCCTGGGTGTGGAAGATTACATGACAACCCCAGCTGCCAGTAAAGAACCCTTGGCAACTCCGGTGAGTGTCCCAAGAAGAGAGGAAGTTGCTTCATAGGCATGTGATCACTATGCAAGGATATTTTGAGACTGGCTTATTTCAGTATGCTTGAGCATAATTGCGTCCAGTGTTCATCCATGTTGTAGCATGTGTAAGAATGTTTTCTCTTTGGAGGTTCAATAATATTCCATTGTATGTAAGTATATACTACATTTTCTTCATGCATTTGGATTGCTTTCAATTCTTTGTTTTTGTGAATAGTACTATGAACAGGGACTTGCAAATATCTCTTCCAAACCCTGCTTTTAATTTTTTTGGGTTTATGCTCAGAAGTAGCATTGCTGGATCATATGCTAATTCTATTTTCAATTTTTCTGAGGACCTCCATTCTGTTTTCCCTAGTGTTGCAGCCATTCTATGACCCCATCAACAGTGCACAATGGTTCCAATTTATTTTCTGTTCTTTTGATAGTAGCCCTCCTAACTGGTGTGAGGTGATAATCTCATTGTGCTTTTGATTTGTTTTTCTCTGATAATTAGTACGATTGAGTATCTTTTGTATGTTTGTTGGCCGTTGTATACCATGTTTGGAGATTGATTTACTTAAGTCCTTTTTCCCATTTTTAAAATCAGGTTATTAGATTTTTTTGTTATTCATTTATAGGAGTTCTATATGCTTTTATCAGATAATATGATTTGTGAGTATTTTCTCCCATTCCATAGGTCGCCTTTTCATTCTGTTGATTGTGTCCTTTGATGCACAAAGTTTTTAAGTTTTATATAATTCCACTGATCTATGTTTGTTTGTTTTTTTCCCTGTACTCATTAGCTTGTTAAATGCTATATTGACATGAACTTTGGAGTCAACAAAAGCATTTCCAAGCCTTGTTCTGTTGCTTGTTGGCTATGTGAGCTTGGGCATATTATTTAATCTCTCTAAACCTTGTTCATATTATAGGGCTAATAACAGAATTTACTTCTTGAAACTTCCCTGGTGGTCCAATGGTTAAGAATCCACTTTCCAATGCAGGGGATGTGGGTTCAACCCCTGGTTAGGGAACTAAGATCCCACATGCTGTGGGGTAACTAAGCCTGTGTGCCTTAACTACTGAGCCTGCACACTCTGGAGCCCTCGAGTCACAACCAGAGAAGCCCACCCCCAGCAAGGAAGGCCCAAAGCAGCCAAAAATGGCTTAGAAAAATAGGACTTACTGATGAAAGAAATCAAAGAGGACACAAACAGATGGAGAAATATACCGTGTTCATGGATTGGAAGAATCAATATTGTCAACATGGCTATACTACCCAAAGCAATCTATAGATTCAATGCAATCCCTATCAAACTACCAACGGTATTTTTCACAGAACTAGACAAAATAATTTCACAATTTGTATGGAAATACAAAAAGCCTCGAGTAGCCAAAGTAACCTTAAGAAAGAAAAATGGAACTGGAGGAATCAACCTGCTTCAGACTATACTACAAAGCCACAGTCATTAAGACAGTTTGGTACTGGCACAAAGACAGAAATATCGATCAGTGGAACAGAATAGAAAGCCCAGAGATAAATCCACGAACCTATGGTCACCTTATCTTCGACAAAGGATGCAAGGATATACAATGGAAAAAAGACAATCTCTTTAACAAGTGGTGCTGGGAAAACTGGTCAACCACCTGTAAAAGAATGAAACTAGAACACTTTCTAACACCATACACAAAAATAAACTCAAAATGGATTAAAGATCTAAATGTAAGACCAGAAACTATAAAACTCCTAGAGGAGAACATAGGCAAAACACTCTCCGACATAAATCACAGCAGGATCCTCTATGACTCACCTCCCAGAATATTGGAAATAAAAGCAAAAATAAACAAATGGGACCTAATGAAACTTAAAAGCTTTTGCACAACAAAGGAAACTATAAGCAAGGTGAAAAGACAGCCCTCAGATTGGGAGAAAATAATAGCAAACGAAGCAACAGACAAAGGATTAATCTCAAAAATATACAAGCAACTCCTCCAGCTCAACTCCAGAAAAATAAATGACCCAATCAGAAAATGGGCCAAAGAACTAAACAGACATTTCTCCAAGGAAGACATACAGATGGCTAACAAACACATGAAAAGATGCTCAACATCACTCATTATCAGAGAAATGCAAATCAAAACCACAATGAGGTACCATTACACACCAGTCAGGATGGCTGCTATCCAAAAGTCTACAAGCAATAAATGCTGGAGAGGGTGTGGAGGAAAGGGAACCCTCTTACACTGTTGGTGGGAATGCAAATTAGTACAGCCACTATGGAAAACAGTGTGGAGATTTCTTAAAAAGCTGGAAATAGAACTGCCATATGACCCAGCAATCCCACTTCTGGGCATACACACTGAGGAAACCAGATCTGAAAGAGACACGTGCACCCCAATGTTCATCGCAGCACTGTTTATAATAGCCAAGACATGGAAGCAACCTAGATGCCCATCAGCAGACGAATGGATGAGGAAGCTGTGGTACATATACACCATGGAATATTACTCAGCCATTAAAAAGAATTCATTTGAATCAGTTCTAATGAGATGGATGAAACTGGAGCCCATTATACAGAGCGAAGTAAGCCAGAAAGATAAAGACCATTACAGTATACTAACACATATATATGGAATTTAGAAAGATGGTAATGATAACCCTATATGCAAAACAGAAAAAGAGACTCCGATGTATAGAACAGACTTGTGGACTCTGGGAGAAGGCGAGGGTGGGATGTTTCAAGAGAACAGCATCGAAACACATATATTATCTAGGGTGAAACATCACCAGCCCAGGTTGGGTGCATGAGACAAGTGCTCGAGCCTGGTGCACTGGGAAGACCCAGAGGGATCGGGTAGAGAGGGAGGTGGGAGGGGGGACCGGGATGGGGAATACATGTAAATCCATGGCTGATTCATCTCAATGTATGACAAAAACCACTGCAATGATGTAAAGTAATTAGCCTCCAACTAATAAAAATAAATGAAAAAAAAAAAAAGAATGAAACTAGAACACTTTCTAACACCATACACAAAAATAAACTCAAAATGGATTAAAGATCTAAATGTAAGACCAGAAACTATAAAACTCCTAGAGGAGAACATAGGCAAAACACACTCCGACATAAATCACAGCAGGATCCTCCATGACCCACCTCCCAGAATTTTAGAAACAAAAGCAAAAATAAACAAATGGGACCTAATGAAACTTAAAAGCTTTTGCACAACAAAGGAAACTATAAGCAAGGTGAAAAGACAGCCCTCAGATTGGGAGAAAATAATAGCAAACGAAGCAACAGACAAAGGATTAATCTCAAAAATATACAAGCAACTCCTCCAGCTCAACTCCAGAAAAATAAATGACCCAATCAAAAAATGGGCCAAAGAACTAAACAGACATTTCTCCAAGGAAGACATACAGATGGCACAAAAACACATGAAAAGATGCTCAACATCACTCATTATCAGAGAAATGCAAATCAAAACCACAATGAGGTACCATTACACGCCAGTCAGGATGGCTGCTATCCAAAAGTCTACAAGCAATAAATGCTGGAGAGGGTGTGGAGAAAAGGGAACCCTCTTACACTGTTGGTGGGAATGCAAATTAGTACAGCCACTATGGAAAACAGTGTGGAGATTTCTTAAAAAGCTGGAAATAGAACTGCCATATGACCCAGCAATCCCACTTCTGGGCATACACACAGAGGAAACCAGATCTGAAAGAGACACGTGCACCCCAATGTTCATCGCAGCACTGTTTATAATAGCCAAGACATGGAAGCAACCTAGATGCCCATCAGCAGACGAATGGATGAGGAAGCTGTGGTACGTATACACCATGGAATATTACTCAGCCATTAAAAAGAATTCATTTGAATCAGTTCTAATGAGATGGATGAAACTGGAGCCCATTATACAGAGTGAAGTAAGCCAGAAAGATAAAGACCATTACAGTATACTAACACATATATATGGAATTTAGAAAGATGGTAATGTTAACCCTATATGCAAAACAGAAAAAGAGACTCCGATGTATAGAACAGACTTGTGGACTCTGGGAGAAGGCGAGGGTGGGATGTTTCAAGAGAACAGCATCGAAACATGTATATTATCTAGGGTGAAACAGATCACCAGCCCAGGTTGGATGCATGAGACAAGTGCTCGGACTTGGTGCACTGGGAAGACCCAGAGGGATAGGGCGGAGAGAGAGGTGGGAGGGGGGACTGGGAGGGGGGACTGGGATGGGGAATACATGTAAATCCATGGCTAATTCATTTCAATGTATGACAAAAACCACTGCAATGATGTAAAGTAATTAGCCTCCAACTAATAAAAATAAATGGAAAAAAGAAAAAAATAAAAAATAAAAAAATAAATGTGACCGTTTTAAAGCAAAAAAAAAAAAAATAGGACTTCCTTCTTAGGGGTTTTTTGTGGTGTTAATGAGAAGGTATTTAGAGGGCCTGGCAAATGGTAAGCTCTGGGGGAGGAAGGGCATTAAAAATAATACAACATAATATGTGCTGAATAAACATTACAGGAAAAAATGTACCATTCCAAGTTCAAGGGAAGGAAAGCATTAATGCCTAGTGACCCAGTATTTTCTAAAATGTTACACCTCAGGTAGTCAGCATGCTCAGCATTTGGGATTTATTTCTAGAGTAGGCATGATTTTATTCCTGTCTCCATTCTTATTTCTTATGTGTGTTATCTTATTTCCACTTTAAATTTATGCCATCATATAGCTTATATATTTATACAACTTTAAGTCAATTTCTGACATAAGATAGAGTATATATTTTACAGTATTAAGTTTTATTTCTGTTTTGCCTTTTACATCTCCAATAGAGGCCGACAGGAACAGAGAATGTAACACAAAGTCACAGAGAAGATCTGCCAACAGGCGAAAGCACAACAGCCAAAAGCACACCTGTCCAGAGCACAACTGCCAAGACCACAGTCCATACTCATGTACCAGCAACTAGTCACTCCCAGGGTAAGAAAAACAGTCACCCCAGCAGGGGTTGATCTTGTTTTGCACCATCAGTGCATTCCCAAAAATCCAGGGACAAATACAATCATCAGTATGGCACTTGTTGGAATGTAGGCAGTAATTTTCAACCAAGCTTTGTGTGGTAGGATCAGAGTTCATATTTATTGGGTTGTTAAACTCTGCCCTCTACTTCAAATGACAGCTAGTGATAATGCCCCCACAAAAGTAAGTGAGATAGCTACTAGTGTCATATTTTTGACGGTAAGCTGATATAATGCTACACAAAAAACTTTGTGTTGATACCCAAGAGGGTAAAAGTTAGCCAATCTATGTATATCTTAGTAGATTCTGTCCTACCATTGAAACTCAACATTCAAAAAACTATGATCATGGTATCCAGTCCATCAGTTCCTGGCAAATAGAAGGGGAAAAAGTGGAAGCAATAACAGATTTTATTTTCTTAGGCTCCAAAATCAGTATGGATGGTGACTGCAGTGAAATTAAAAGACACTTGCTCCTTGGAAAGAAAGTTATGCCAAACCTAGATAGCATATTAAACAAAAGTTTGTATAGTCAAAACTATGGTTTTTCCAGTACTCATGTACGGATACCAGAGTTAGACCATAAAGAAGGCTGAATGCTAAAGAATTGCTGCTTTTGAATTGTGGTCCTGGAGAAGACTCTTGAGAGTCCCTTGGACTGCAAGGAGATCATACTAGTCAACACTAAATAAATCCTGAGTATTCATTGGAAAGATTGATTCTGAAGCTGAAGCTCCCAATACCTGATGCAGGGAGCTAACTCATTGGAAGAGACCCTGATGCTGGGAAAGATTGAAGGCAAAAGGAGAAGAGAGCAGGAGAGGGTGATATGGTTCAATAGGATCACCAAGTCAATGGACATGAATTTGAGCAAACTCTGGGAGATAGTGGAGGACCAAGGAGCCTGGTGTGCTGGAGTCCCTGTGATCACAAAGAGCTGGACACAGCTTAGCGACTGAACAGCAATAGCATTGCTAAAATTTCCCATCTTACTGTACATTGAGTTCATATCTGTACACGTGATGCAAGAATCTATCCTAAGCCTGTCTTAGCAGGCTTTGGGGTTATATTTTACAGCTGGTATATGCAGCAATGTGGATGGAGGCTCACCTTGGGGATAAATTCTGAAGGACAACTTTGAGTCTGCATCTCTATTATGAGGTTTAGACCATCACTAATGATTGTGAGGAAAGACGATTGCCGTTACAACTTAGTAAGAGAAAGAGCTTCCTATTTCCAGAGCTTTCTTGAAAGAAATTCAGTTTTTTGAGGTATTTTTAAAATATGCCTTATTTTGTAGTAGATAGGGGTGGAAGAGAAAAGGAACTAATCTTCTAGTAACTGCAATGAATGCTTGTTAACTTGAGCAATTTCCTATCATCATTGTACTTAGGTGTTTTCATCTTTAAATGAAAGTAAACATAAGGACTTCCCCTGAACCTGTGGTTTCTAAAACCAGTTGCACAGCTGAAAACCTAGAAAGTTAGTCCTTACTGTTTGATATACAATTCCCAATCACCAGTCTGGTTTGTAAAACTCTAAAGTACTTCTGCAGATTTTTTTAATGCTTTGTATTTGTACACTTATGGTCACAGCAGCATTATACACCATAGCTGAAACACGGAAGCAACCCAGCTGTCCCTGAATAGATGATTGGGTCATATACAAAATATACACATGACACATATACAAAATGTGTCATATACATGCAATGGAATATTATTCAGCCTTTAATAGGAAGGAAATTCTCACACATGCTATAACATGGATGAACCTTGAGGAATAAATGGAATAAACCAGTCACCAAAAGACAAGTGCACTGTGATTCCGCTTAGGTGAGGTACATAGAGTAGTGAAAACCATAGACAGAAAGCAGAATGGTGGTTGCCAGGGGCTGTTTGCGGGGGGTGGGGGGGGGGGCGGGGGGGGCGGGGAGTGGAGATGGCTAGAGAGTGTCAGTTTTGCAAGATGATAAAGAGTTGTGGAGATGGATGGGGCTGATGGTTGCATACCAGGTGAATGTACATAATACCATCAAATAGTACACTTAAAAACGGTGAAGATAGTAATGTTCATATTATGTGTATTTTACTACAAAGATAGAAAAGTTTCATAATATGCTTAGAAAATAATGCCTAAGGGTTACTCTAAGATGCTAAAGAAATGGTTGACATTAAATACCAGAGTGGGGTTAATCAAGGAAAGAATCAATATAATTACTCACTGGAAACATTTCAAAATTTTGGAGAAGCATTGATCATTTGTAACAAGAGTTGATAGCTTATTCATGGCAAGCCGAAAAATGGAACATTCCAAGTTGAGTGGTTTTTGTTTTTTTTTTATATCATACCAGAATATTTCTCCTATTCCTTGAAAATGTCTCAATTTCCTGGAAAATACTCATCATTACTTTCTTGTCCGTCCTCTTCCCCACCCTTTCACAAAAACTGTGACTTATGGCACATTCCTACTTCATGCATCAGTGTTCCAAGAAATTTTCACATGTGAGTTAAAATGTAATCATAAACACTTGGCTTTTTAAGAGGTAGTTTTATTAGGGCTGCAAATGCCTTTACCATCAAATGCCCAAGTTTGATGATGTTCGTGTGCATGATACATTTGAGTGATCACAGTCAGTGTAATTGGGAAGAGGCTTAGGGAGTATAAGGCTAGTACCTCTAATTTAGTGATGAATCATCCACAAACTTTATTTTGGTAATATATTTTCTGGAAAATGGTGTCATTGATGGTGATAATGTTGTGTTATGAGCCCAGTATGTTGTGTCATGAGGCACCATGTTAAGACATGAAAAGCAAATGTTTGACCTGTCTCTACTGGTAGTTGTCAGCCAGGTATAGCATTTAGGGAGTTGATAGGATGACACCTTTGTTCTGGGCAGGCTGCAAACCCAGAAGTCTCCCAACTGCTTTTTTTTTGTGAGTTGGCCTGATCAGTTTGAGCTCCATGTAAATGTTCTAGAGCCATGGGTTCAGCTCATGCAGGAAGAGATGGGTTCAAGGACCTGTACTCTGGGGCCATGAAGTTAAAAGACACTTGCTACTTGGAAGGAAAACTATAACAAACCTAGACAGTACATTGAAAAGCAGAGACATCACTTTGCCAAAAAATGTCCATGTAGTCAAAGTTATGGTCTTTCTAGTAGACATGTACAGATGTGAGAGTTGGACCACAAAGAGGGCTGAGAACTGAAGAGTTGATGCTTTCAAACTGGTGCTGGAGAAGACTTTGAGAGTCCCTTGGACTGCACAGAGATCAAACTAGTCAATCCTAAAGGATATCAACCCTGAATATTCATTGCAAGGACTATTACTAAAGCTCCAGTATTTTGACCACCTGATGCAAACAGCTGACTCTTTGGTAAAGACCCTGATGCTAGGAAAGATTGAGGGCAGGAGGAGAAGGGGACAACAGAGGATGAGATGGTTGGATGGCCTCACTTGATTCAATGGACATTAGTTTGAGCAAATTCCTGGAGATAGTGAGGACAGAGGAGACTGGCACGCTGCAGTCCATGGGGTCTTAAAGAATCAGACACAACTTAGCTATTGAACAATGACAACTCTAGGGCCATCTTGAAAGAATGTCTTTTTTTTTTTTTTTTGAAGATGGACCTGATACAGAGTGGATAACTTTTCTTTCCAAATCAACCATTAGAAAAAGTAAACATCTTACAGTTGATGGTTGGCTGGTTTCACTTTGGATTAGGAGAGCATTAGATATCTGATATTTTGCAAATTGTGAGCTAAGATTCTAGGGCTGAGCCTGATTAAATCACATCTCTCTGTTGTCTCATTAAATTAAGGCCTCTTGACTTTTTCTTCATAAACAACTACCACCCAGAGGAATGAAGGGCTCAGTTTACCAAGAAGTTGATGGGAGAAACAAAAGGCTTTTATTTTTTTAATAGAATTGTGTAAAAATTATCTGAAGAAAACAGTGTTATTTCTTACTTCCAGAAAGGTATTCATAGTTAAGCAACTTATATCCACATGCTAGGTAAATAAGAATATTCACATTTGAACCACTAGATTAGAGTTAGCTGCAGATAGAAATCCTACAATAATAGTGCCATAAATACAAAGGGAATTCCAGAAAAACATCTACTTCTGCTTTATTGACTACACCAAAGCCTTTTACTGTGAATTACAACAAACTGGAAAACTCTTAAAGAGATGGGAATACCAGACCACCTTACCTACCTCCTGAGAAATCTGTATGCAGGTCAAGAAGCAACAGTTAGAACCAGACATGAAACAACAGAGTGGTTCCAAATAGGGAAAGGAGTACGTCAAGGCTGTATATTGTCACCCTGCTTATTAAACTTATATCCAAAGTATATCATGAGAAATTCAAGGCTGGATGAAGCACAAGCTGGAATCAAGATTGCTGGGAGAAATATCAATAACCTCAGATATGCAGATGACACCACCCTTATGGCAGAAAGCAAAAAAGAACTAAAGAGCCTCTTGATGAAAGTGAAAGAAGCGGGTGAAAAAGCTGGCTTAAGACTCAATATTCAGAATACTAAGATCATGACATCTGATCCCATCATTTCATGGCAAATAGATGGGAAAACAAATAGAAATAGTGAGAGACTCTATTTTTGGGGAGCTCCAAAATCACTGCAAATGGTGACTGCAGCCATGAAATTAAAAGACACTTGTTCCTTGGAAGAAAAGCTATGACCAACCTAGATAGCATACTAAAAAGCAGAGATATTACTTTGCCAATAAAAGTCTGTCTAGTCATAGCATTGTTTTTTCCAGTAGTCTTGTATGGATGTGAGAGTTGGAGTATAAAGAAAGCTAAGCACCGAAGAACTGATGCTTTTGAATTGTGGTGTCAGAGAAGACTCTTGAGAGTCCCTTCGACTGAAAGGAGATCAAACCTGTAAATCCTAAAGGAAATCAGTCCTGAATATTCATCAGAAGGACTGATGCTGAAGCTGAAACTCCAATACTTTGACCACGTGATGCAAAGAACTAACTCATTGAAAAAGACCCTGATGCTGGGAAAGATTGAAGGCAGGAGGAGAAGGGGACAACAGAGAATGAGATGGTTGGATGTCATCACCGACTCAATGGACATGAGTTTGCGCAAGCTCCAGGAGTTGGTGATGGACAGGGAAGCCTGGTGTGTTGCAATCCATGGGGTCACAAAGAGTCAGACATGACTGAGCAACTGAACTGAATGAACTGCAAATGCAAAGGATGTAGTCTCATTAAGCTTAAGTGCCCTGTAAGATCTGGATTTTCTACGAAAACAAAGGAAATTGATATCACAAGATGGACGCTATCATAGTCTTGACCACAACTTCCAAAACATTTTGGTCTCAAAATGACGTTTCTTCAAAATAAACCTCCTCCCAATGGGTGAGTTTTTCATGCTCTTGACTTTGGACCAAAAATGAACAGCCTTGGATTCTTTTGTTACCCTAACTTCTGAAATCTCTGACCATTTATTTAAGATCTCTCTGGGTGAGTTACCTTGACTCTGCTCTCCATAGTAAGTGGGGAAAAAAGTAACATTTACCAAAGAACTATGGACTCATAGGTGTGAAGAAGCATTCATAAATTCAATAAATAATAGTTTTAAAGACAGGATTATGTCAGAGCCTGCTTAAAAGTCCCCTGATCCAATTTACTTAAGAAATTATCCTCTTTGCTTGTGTTTTGCTACCTTCCACTTAGAGTAAGTCCATCTTCTGCCAATTGTTAAATTATAGTTATTAACTCCTAATAATTCTATATCATTGCAACTCTCTCTTTATAGGGAAAATAGATGGAGAAAAACCGAAAGTCGCTCAGAAAGGTGGGTTAGATTTTGTTATCAAAACATTCTTATGGGAGTTTTTAAAAAGGTTTCTTTGAACTTTAATCTTTGTGATGAATTAACATTCTTTCCTGGATTGTAATCAACGGGAGCAGAAAACCTTTTGAGAATGTTTCAAATCTCTTAAGAGAGAAAAGGGAATTGCCTGTGTTTGAAAATAAGCAAACCACAAGTGAGTCTTCACAACAGCTGTGGAGAATGGTGTCATATCACAATTTATGGTTCCTAAGGATGGAAATTGGGGCTAATTCAATAGCTATGTGTACACTAAAGCTACTCAGTAGTTAACAGTGAAGCCATCTAGTCAGAATGGTATGCTTCTTGATATATCTTGAGATCCAGAAATCTTTCTGTGATTAGAATAACCCCAGCTCTTTTCCCCTTTTAAGTCACCTCCTACTAGATAGAGGACAAACAACATAGAGCATCATTTGTTATCTACAGTGGGCCTGTGACATTGCTTATTGCTGCTGTATTGTTCATCTGGGGACTCTGCTTTTTTTTTTTTTTTTCTGTCTCATTCAGGTGGCTTGTCAATGGGGACCCTGGTTGCAATCATTGTTGGCGTCTTACTAGGCATCGCAATCATTGGTGTAATCATCCGTGTGATTTACCGGAAAATGTCGGGAAGATACTCGTAAGTATAAACCTTAGGCTCTTGAGATACGTAAATGAAGGGGGTGGTTTCCAACCTTTGAACTAATAGACACTCTAAATAAAGATCATGTGCAGAAGCCACCATCCTCCCTAAGCACTGCATCTGAAGTGTCCCCTTGTAAGTTTCCAAGAGAACACCCCAGATGGTTCTTCAGTTGATTTCCATTGCGATCTGACCCAATTTGACCTCTTAATTTTCCGACTCAGTGAACTTGAAGGAAAACCCAAACCAAGTTTTAACGATACACAATCACCCTACTACTAGTCCTCAGAGGTACGTGGTTCTCAGAAGAACATTAGTGGCAGAGCGAGGACCCTATTCTGATAAGGAATTCCACTGGTGCAGGGGCCCCTCCCTCCACGCCTGTCCTGCATGCACCCACACATTATTATTATTATTTCTCCATTAAAATTTCCTAGGAATTCAGAACATTTCAAATTCATAGCCAGAGGAAAACATTTTCTTATTTCTGTTGGGGAGATAATATATGATTGAATGGGAAGAGGATACATGTTGTTATATGACTGGGGGCATCAAGGGACACAAGCAGCAATACAATTGCAGATTTATGTATCTGGAAATGCCCGGGAGCCTGACCCTAAGTCAGGCTTGAATGTGATCCTGAGAATCAGGCCTGGAGGAGGGATGAGTAGGGAGATAAGAGCCCCAGGACCTAGTAGTCACAATGCCAGTAAAAGAAGTGACAGTCACCTTTCTCCTTGTCTTCACAGGCCCTAAAGTGCTAAAGAATTGTGCTGTCCTGCCAATACATTTTAAAAAAGAGAGCTTCCAACATCCCTCCCTGCCCTGTCCCTGAGCACATGGAGAAGATGACCCGTGGAATTGCTTCACCACCACACTCAAAATCCACGGTGATCCCTCCACTCGCTAAAACTAACTGAAGGAAAGAGTATTCATAAGACGTGCTCCTCTAAGCCTTTGTCTTTTGAAAAAAAAATATTGTTTTAATATAAATTTTGTGTGTGATTTAAAAGGCAAAATGCATAGAAAATGGAGCAAAGCTGTGTTAAACCTGATTTGTAACTAAATAGACAATAGATTGGGTTGGCCAAAAAATTTGTTAAGGTTTTTTCCATAAGATCTTACAGAAAAATCTGAACAAACTTTATGACCAACACAATCATTCAGCGGATGTCAGAAGCTGTAATTGTGTTTGTTTTTGTCTTTGTAATTAGTCTTTGTTTTGACTCTCCTCTGTTATTGTTAAAATGCAAAGGAATCTGAAAATATTTATACCAATGGTGTCCCTGGGTATAGAGCTATGTCAGTCAGTGGCATAAGTGCTCTTCAGTTTCTGATCTGTTAAAGCATACACATTCCAGTCCAGTGGGGTCAATTTTTAGAGCCTGATTTGGTATGGATAATGAAGTAGAAAATTTATACTTGTGTAATATGTAATTAGCAACTGGCTTTCACTGGTCCAGGTAAGGCATTTCAAAGACATCTATTTTAGATCACAAATAGAAGTTTTACTTTGGGGAAGGTGTTTTGTTTCTCACACCAAGGGTCTCGGTGTACTCTGCTGTCTTCTCCGTCGATGACTTGATGAATCAAAGGTTTGTTTGTATACAAGTATAAATTTTTTACTTCCATTTTCCTCAGATGATAGAGATCCAGACCTGACGGGGTGGCCTTCTCGCTTCCCCATCACCCAAGTCCTCCATATTGGCTTCTTTGTTCTGGAATATGAGGACCTCAGCCCTGGATGCAAAAAAAGGCTGTTGGAGGCCCAGTGATGCCAGAGGCTCAGGTGTTCCAGGAACTGAGAGCTGCAGTGGTCCCCAAACCCTGTGTGTGCTTGTGACAGACAAAACCTGTCAGCTTCCTAGCATTTACTTTCTGCTTCAGAGGAAAGAAATGGGAATACTAATTTTTAAAAAGCAACTGGATTTAGAGGCTTTATCTTAAAATGGAAGCTGTTTCTGGTTTTCACAAGATCCCCCATATTTCAGTGGGGTCATGATTGACAATTCTGTATTGGCACCATCCAGCTCAGGACATTTCTCCCCGTAGGCCAACTAAATTCTTTCCCCTGCACAAAAAGGTTTTACCCTGAGCAGATGCTATGTCACAGTTGTGGTTATACATTTCTGATAGCCTCTGAATTCATCAGGTTCATAAAACAGGAAAAAGTAGACTATCAGTCAGAAAGCTTGGCCTGTTCCCCTAACTTTTGCAGTAATGGATGGATGTAATTTTAAACAGTATGCCCTTGTGTCACTCAAGTCCAGCTAGTCCAAAATCCCAGGTTCAATATTTGAACATCGACTGATGGAGAAAACGGGCTTTGGAAATGCTTTATGAATCTCTTAACTACCCTTCCATTTCATCACTCAGATTCCTGAACAGGAGTTGGGAATAATGTTAATTTCCTCTTTCTTATTCTCTTTTTTTTTTTTTTCTTACTGTGAAAAATAATAGTCAAGCCCAAGTCATACACTGGACCCATCACCTGCTGGGACAGGGCTGTGGGTTTCCTGGTCACATCTGTGTTGTGCTCAATGCAGTGTAGACATGTTTTAAAATAAAACAGATGATTGAGTATATAACAGTGAGTCAGATCTGTGATTGGGAATCTCCATCAAGTTGGATCACCCCTGAGTACATCTCCAGATAAGATTACACATTACATAAACATCTGCCTCTTGATTTGATTGGGAGTGAATTATAAATGATCATAGGAGGTATACATCCATGGGGAAGAAATGTAACTGGACCTTTCACCCAGGACTCTGCCAAAGTAGGGAAGTTAAGGTCAAGTGGAGGAATGGGAGGAAAAGTGGCACTTTAGTTTTGTTCACTCTGGTCACAAAAGGTTAACAAGGATTTGCCTGGCTCCTGATTTCTCTACCCTGGAGACTGGAGCCAGGAAAGGGGGGAAAGGTTATACCTTGCTCCTGCCAGCCTACCTGGGAACTTGACCTCAGGTGGGTAGGGCTTGACCACATAAGAAAAGGTGGTAATAACACTTGTGAAGTTCTAACCGCCTATGGCCTGGGATGCACATCGCTGCAGAATTCCTGTTCCTGGGACATCTCACTGCTCCTTGACCCTCAGTGCAAGCACTCTGCAGAGTCTAGAGACTGGAGAGGCCAGGCCCTCTGTCCCTCTGTCAGTCTACTACTCCACACCCCCACGCACCTCGCCCCATATGGGACTCTAATGCCACACCCTGTGTCTCTCCCCTCCAGCCCTATCTGTATTCATAAAGGTTGGATTTAGTGTCATACCTTCCTCATAATACTCAGTTTTTGTTAAGGCAGGGTTGTTGAATTTCCCAGATGTCTGGAATCCTGAGTTCCTGTTTCTAAGTGGTGAAACTAACAGGAGAGGACTTGAAACTATTCGTTTTCTAGCAGAAAACTAGCCACATCCACCTAGTCCCACAGACTCCCAGGCCATCCGCTATGTCAAGTGTCAATTTATACACACCACCCACTGGAGACTATTGGGACCAAACAGACTGCCAAGAGCACTGGAACTTTAAGGAAGCAACTCCATCCTCTCTTCTCTTAGAGATGCCTGGGGACCAAGCAGTGCTGAAGTTAACTGTTTGTGAGATAGCAAAGCATCGTTTGGGCTTCCCTGGTGGCTCAGATGGTAAAGAATCTGCCTGCAATGCAGGATACCTGGGTTCGATCTCTGGGTCAGGAAGATCCCCTGGAGAAGGGAATGGCTACCCACTCCAGTATTCTTGCCTGGAGAATTCCACAGACAGAAGAACCTGGCAGGCTATAGTCTATGGGGTTGTAAGAGTCGGACACGACTTAGCAACTAACACACACACAAAGCATCGTCTTAACCCTTTATTTTTCTTTCAACCTGGGAGAACCAGGTTGAAACCAAAAAATAAGAGTTAGTTCTGCTTTAATGAACAAAGAATGAGTAACTTAATCTCTTACTCTTTCCATCTTTAATTTAATTCATATTGATTTAGTATCCAGGGTTGCTCCTGACAAATGCTTTGATGGGGCATAATGCATATTCTGACATAAAAACTTTGTTTGCTGATCTGAAGTCCAGTGGAAGTAGAATTTCTCTGACATAGAGCTGGATCTTAGCACATACAGTTGGAGCACACAGTTATCTACTTGTGAGCATCAGAGAACTTGGCGTTCCCTGAAAGCAAGCATTTCTCTTTGTTTTTCCCCAAAGCTTGAAGCTAGGTTAGATATAAATATACCTTGTGACATCACTACCACAATCAAGCTAATTAACATGTCTATCACATCACATGTTACTTTTTTGTGCACATGGCAAGAACACTCACTGTCATAGTAAATTCAAGTATACAATGCAGTATTATTAACTATGGACTTCCCATAGTTAAGGTGGCAGAGTGGTAAAGAATCCACCTGCCGATGCAGGAGACCCAAGAGACATGGATTCCATCCCTGGGTTAGGAAGATCCTCTGAAGTAGGAAATGTCAAACCACTCCAGTATTGCCTGGAGAATTTTATAGACAGGAGCCTGGCAAGCTACAGTCCATGACATTAACTATAGTCACCATAGTGCACATTTGATCTTAAGAATTTATTCATCTTGCATAACTGAAACTTTGTACCCTTTGACCAGCATCTTAAAACATGTTGTACACCTTAAATGTATACAATTTTTACTTCTCAATTATGCTTCAATAACGTTGAGGGGAAAAGCCAGGTTAGAATGTATAGTAGATCCATGGGTTTTTAATTTAATAAATGCACAGGATGTAACCACAGTTCATGGGCAATATGCAGGATAAATGTAAAATCTCTTGGAGGAGAATAAGGCTGGTGTAAGGAATGTGAGATTTTGGCCCATTGGCCCAGCACATGTGATTCAGGCAAAATGCCAGCCTGGCTTCACCAATCATTAATCCTCAGCACTTTTCACCCGGGGGGTCATATTATCAGACACAGGCGCAAAGCACCCAATGTTATTTCTGCACCCAGATGCTGTAGGTCACCACACAGAGTCCTATGCATTTTCCTGAAACCTTGTTCCTCCCATGTTCTTTCCTACTCCTTTCCCTATTACTGCCTTTAGTTTTCCACAGATGGCAGGGGATTGAGAAAACAATTCCTGCCAGTCACAAGGGGAATGTTCCAAAAGGGATGGTGACCCTCCGGATGCTACCTGAGAGGTTGTCTCAAATAAGTGCTTGAATACAACCTAAACCACAACAGCGCCCTGTGGGTAAACTCAGGAAGGCAAAAGATGTTCCGAGTGAAGGGAAAGCTTGAGCCTTCCTTTTCCTTCCCTTCCCAGCCTTCCACAGAGCATTTGGGCATGAGACTGAGGCTGTGGATGGTACAGGGCTGGTTGGGCAGGGATTGTGGGGTGTGGATGTTTGCCCAGCAAGACCCAGGGACAAAGGACACTGACGGGCTAACAGGGTGTTTGGGGCTGCTGGAGAGATACACCCTCTTGGGACAGAAATAATCTGCTCATTCCTTCATTCAATGAACATATACTGTCAGACCCTGCTCTGGGTCCTGGGGATACATAGCTAGTAAAATCAACAAAAATGCCAACCTGCTGGAACTTTCACTCTAGCATGGGAGACACTGCCCAAAATAAACAGATAAATCATGGTGTGTGTAGGAAATTAGGGGGTGGAAGAGGCAATGGAGAAAAGCAGCAGGGGAAGGGAAGAGGAAGAGCAGGGCAGAGGGACCACAGCATTGCTTTGGTTAGGCAAGGAAGACCTCACTGGGGTTTGAGCGAAGCCCTA